CGCAAAACTTGTTGACGCAGAAAGATGTAACATTGAGATACGTTGTTGTCACATGCTCGTTATAGCGCAGATACCTAAAACTGTAAGAACGGGGGAAGAACGCGCCCTGCTATTTGGTTCATTATGCGAATACGAAAGGTGTATGTATCGTGTGGCCATCAACTATGAAAGCGTATATTGTCACGAGCATACGTGAAAAATTTAGCACCAACGCAAACCTTAAGTGCTAGAGTGTACCACGACAGGGCTATTTGCACTGTCAACGGTACGAAAATAGCCCCGCGCAGCGGTGACCCTACTTGAGGAGGTTTAATTACGAGGTAATGGCGAGCAATGACCGCATGGCTTTTGCTTCAAGAGACATTCATTAGTGGCGTCTAATTACGTACCCGTGATGGTAGAAATGTGAGAGACTATTTCTCCTATACTCATAACCGCACTAAGTAGTACAGGCGCAAAATATACACTTTCGCAACGTTTTCCGTGTAATTACATTAGGAATGTAAGCTTAACCACTTTTCTTTAGTCGTTTGCTTATCCCCCACTTTCGTGTCCCAAGGGCAGGAGATGATAGTTTGAGAGGAAAGTTTTGAGAGCTGCGAAACAAAACAGTCACACAATTTTAGAGTACAAGGAGAAAGAGAATGCTCGAGGACCTGCTTCTTTGTGTGACACAGTCGTAGTAAAAACCAGTAGATAGTGAAGCCAGTGAGAACATAGGGAACACTAAAACGTTAATTGTGCTAGTTGAAATGCATTTTAATGATTGTGATGGAGCTGTGGAGAAAGTGCAAGGCTTCGGCCCTTGATGCCTTTGTGCCACATTTTTGACCAAGTGACGATGATATGCGATGACGACATCAGATTTCATTGGTGACGTCATGATGAAAGGAGACGTCGTACAAGTCGTCACGACGTAATTAAGCTACCGTACAAGTCCCCAGCACCGGTAGCCGAATTTTTATTCTCTTAAGATGCAAGGCTTCGGCCTTCATGAAGCAGTTTTCTTCCAGAACTTCTCTTAGCAGGCTACGCCATGAACTACCGTGCTACAATCTTTCAGAAGACAAAACGCTATGCACAGCCTTTCACTCAACGAACTTTTGAAACAGTCACTACAATTTGGGGCATGCTCTGATTAGCAGGTGAAATGACATTGATATTGCACGAATTCACAAGTAAATTGATTTTGTATACCGAATTCATGAACTCAAATGATAAAACTGGAATCTAGAATGCCGCAAGTTCGGAAAATAACTACGCTAAACGCAACTTGGTGAGATGAGACCGCACCACGCTTTCTCTAATTATCTCTCTCTCTCTCTCTCTCCCACGCTCTTTTATTTTATTTAAACCCCGCCATGCATTCTTTTAAAGGTTCTGAGTACCGGCTTCTGCAACGGTGCCACGGTTAAAATACGAGAACGTCAGGCTATAGGTAGCACTCAAGTGTATACGAGCCAGTACGTTTCTTATGCAAATGTACTTGTAACAAGAGGACGCCGCTCGTGACTTTGTTTATGTAAGTTCTGTTAACGTTTGAAGTGCGGCCACTTCAAAGCGATCAAGACAATGTTTACGTAAACAAGCTCCTTTCGCAAGGAACGCTATCGTCTTGTCGTATATGCATGCAGGAAGGATAAACCGACACGACATATTTAACTTCGATGCTGCTTGCCATGAAATACGAATCGCTTCTTGTGAACAAGACGGGCGGATGCCGTCTCGGCTGCCATGGATTAATTATACATTGAACTAACAGAAACAATTATTCACGAGCAAACATTCGTGCAGAGAACACAAACTTCCTGAGTGTTACTTGTGGTAAAAATGATGACGAACATTTTTTATTCTGCAAATGTTTGTTTTCTCAAAGCCACGTTCGCTTCTGCAGCGTACATTCATTCCTGGTGAACGGGCTACATAAAAGCAGTTTGTATTCTCGCGAAGTTTGTAGCTTGACATACATTTAGATAAACAGAAAAAAACTTGAACTGAGAAAAGCAGCGAAGTGAAAAAAAACTGGCCATTCGCAATAATTCAGTAGAAACATTCATTAGACAAATTTCAATACAAACCTCTAGATGCTTCCAATCCCATAGTATAAACCCAGGGTGGCTGAAGCCATTGTTGTTTCCTGGATCGTATTCCTCTTAACTCGTCAATGTTGGTTTATGACGGTAAGTTTGAAGTAATTGTGGTAAAAGGCCAAGAAGCCCTATGCTCCTAATCAAGACTGTTAAAGTCGGTGCACTGTACCATAGAAAACGTAGTAAAGTGCCTGTTTGGCCCAGTTGGTACATGATAAACGAAGCGATAAACAAAGCGAAAACACAATAGAGTGAAAGAGACGGACGAAGCACTGACTTGAAACCAAGGTTTTATTCCATACATTTCTGTTATTTTATGTATGGAATAAAAGAGGTCAGCGCTTCATCCATCCCTTTTACTGTCTTCACGTCACGTCACCGTTTTTCGCTTCGTAGGGAAAGAGTAAAACGAAAAATCATCATGTGAATATGTCACATGGTGGCTTAATTATCACGTCCCGACGTGTCATCTTGTGACGTAACATCACATGATATTAAAACGGTTGACCAATCGCGGACGCCATGAGAGGTGCCATCTATACTGAATGCATTGCAAAATCACGTTACGCGCAGGATACATTGGAAGGCTGGTGGGTCAGGATTGAAGAGAACAGGAAGAAGGCTTTCGAGTCCGAGTCCTCTTAGATCAATCTATGAGGGACCCTGCGAGTTTTGCCTTAAGTGAACTTTTAGTTGCTTGTGCCACATGTTTTGAGAAAAGTAAGATAGATGGGATTGTTAAGGTGTGTTTGCACCAGAGACCCACGACACCTATTTTGGTCTGCAGACTGTCTTTAGGAGTCCCCTCTGTCTTGCCATCGTCCAAGCTACACTTCTAGGACACAAAAAGCCCACCGATGGTCTCCAAAAGACTCCGTCTGCGCCTTCTCATGCTCATAGTCTTTCGTTCCCCATTTCTCTAGTTACACTTGAGGCACAGAGCGAGACACCGACTAAACTTCACACCTGCACTTCATTATCAGCCTAGCTCCCTGCTGTCTCTCTCTTGCTACGTGGAGCAGCCCCTGTCATAATCCAAGGGGTCAAGGAAGGACACACACACACACACACTCACACACACACACACACACACACACACACACACACACACAAAAGAGAAGCGAAGATAGGACTTTTGTGGGGTGCACAAGATGTCCATTCAAACGCCGTAGAAGCCTCCGAGAGGGAATTTTTATCTTCCCCAAGCAAGATTATCTACATCATGGTCGTTTCAAGCAAAAGTATGGGTAAATTTTCTCTCAGCCGCATTTCTCCCGACGACACGCTGTTATACCTGGGAGTCCAGACCGAATGTCATTGCCTCTGCAAAGGCAATCCGTGTCAAGGCCAGCGAGTGAGCCCGCCTGACACCATTCCCTCAACGACGTCATCTAGCCCGGTGCTGCCGGTGTGTCTTACGCAACGCATGGCAAGCTCCCTCAACCCACGGGTCCGATAGCAGCCCGATGACGCAATCGGTGCCATCCAGTCTGGCGAGTCCTACGCAATGAGTGGCAACATTACTCGTTCATGGATGTAATCAAGTGGCGCTTCCTGACTGGAGGATTCTGACGTCACGTCAAGCGGTGGTTCTGATTGAACGTTGCTGGCGTAAGGGACACCCGGAGCTTATAAAAAAGCCAAGCGGTGCGTCGCTAAGCAGCCGAGCTTTGCGTCAGAAAGAAGAGCGTACGAAGACACCTAGGCTTTTCGAGTCCTTAAACTGTCAGTCCCAGTGCCGAATATGTAACACCGCTATTCCACGCTGCACATAAGCATTGCCTCATTTCACCGTCGTCTTGTCCGCTCATCTATAAGTTCTGCGCAGAAACAGCATCGAGCAAAGAAACGCGCTACTGAAGAACCTTGGCGGCCCGTGACCTCTGCGCGCTACGCAATAGTGTTGGCGGTGGGGCGAGTCGTAACAACGCCGACGGCAGGTCTGCGGATGCGTTTTTCTACTGATTTCCGTCTCTCACCTTGTTACACTATAACGACATGCAGTCTTCTGACGCGTCGTCGTCGTCATCGGCCTAGTGTGACCAGGCGGTCTGGCGACTTCGTCGATGGGCGACTCATTGGCCGACCATCTGCGTCGGCCTCGTGTCTTCATCGGGGTCGTGTCGGTGTCATGTCGCTCTAAACTCCAAAAAGTTTAGAGGGGAACTGCGCACTTACCCCGAAAAGAGCTATTTGCTCCTCCTAAGGACAGAATGCGCGCAAAGTATGGCACACGGCACGGCAAGGAGGGGCACTTTCCTTCTTGTGTACTAGAGCGCCCATTATTTGGAGTAACCGCAGGAATGTTTGCGCCGTGTGAAAAAGACTCATCAGTGCCTACAAAAACCTGTATCCTATAAGGCGGGGCAGTCGCATGGTGTGGTGCAGTGGTTAGTGTACGCGCATGCTGACTGAGCGGTGGTGAGTTCGATGCTCGTGTGTTTGCTGCATATTATCTGAAACTTATTTTTGAATGTGACGCTTGCACATCGATTGTACATCTAATCAAATGCCTCTTGCCCTTTAAAAGGCTGGTTAAGTCAATGAAAACCTCATTTTTTTCTTTGCGCAATGTACTGTTGCTTATTTGAGGAGTAACCGCGAGAGCATGTGTACTCCTTCGCGGTTACTCCCAAAATGGTGCAATGAGTCTGGCGGGTTCGTTACTCCTCTAAAGAAGCAACCTCGACACCCCTATTCCTCCTTTACTTCTTAGAGCGTAGTGTAAGCGTGCATCTGCAGCCCTTTGCGACACGGCGTGTACAATTGTGCACGTGAGTTTTAACAGACGTTTTGTGAGTCACAATCGTCGTCATTTCAATTTGAACCGCTCAGCCAGCATTCGAATTTCCCGCTCATGAAAACGGTGCTGCTACCTCGTGAATGTCACGCCAACTTCTTTACCAAAACGAGAGAGCAAGATGGATGCCCCGTCGTTCTACGGCGCGCCAAGTAGGTGCTCTTGGTTTTGTCTTTTTTCTCTATTTAAAACATGTGTTAAAGCAAAAATCGAGCTTGTGCGTTAATATATAAGGGGTAAAGATGTTATTATAGTGATTATGTTTTCTATTGTACCAATATTTATGAAGCGGTGGTCACGTTTACGATGGCGAGTCCATTGAAACACAACGTGTCATCATTGCACTCCGTTAGCGGCCGCCCTATCCACCTTCTGTTACTGCTGCGGATGTAGCTTATCTGCTTTTGTCTGTTGTTTTCTGTTTCTAGGTATCCGTAATCATGCCCGAACAAGGCCAAGGGCTATAAACTCGGCGGTTGATCAGCTTTTTCAAGCTATCATGAATGAAGACTTATCAGACGCTTAGCTTTCGGACGATGAAGTCGCCAATGCACAATTTGTTGAAACGGTAAGCGGAATGTGGAGAAACGTTTTGCTAGCTGCTGCATTATTTTGCGTTTACAATTGCAGGAAACTGCATCGGACGAGGAGCAAGGCCCTACATTGCATCCGGCAGAATCTGAGACTCGTCACAGTGACAGCAATGAGCCGCCACAGAAAAAAGTAAAGCAAGTCAAGTGGCTCGCAAAGGATTTCGATCCAGGGGATACGCGCTGCACTACCAGCCGCTTGGCGGGTCCGCGCCAGTGGAACCGCTAGAAAATTTCACGAAGTACTTCACCGAAAACGTGTTTGAGGACTTAACAAAGTCCGCAAATATCTATGCCTTGCAGAACACAGCAACAGAGCTTCCGTTCTCTGTTAAAGAGATGAAGGTGTTCTTTGGGATCTTTATTTACATGGGAGTTTTGAAATTCCCACGTGCCCGATGTATTGGCAAAGCGGTACACCAATTTCCGCAATTGCAGATGCAATGGCGGTAAACAGGGCCCGAATTCACAAAGCTTTCTCTTTGGCTACGCATTTTCTTAGCCAAAAATTCTCTTATCTGGAGGGATTACTATAGCGCGGGTATGAATTTAACTTATTCGGCACTTAAGAGGGCAAGGAGGACCGACGATAGCCGATGAAACGACAAGGAAAGAAAGAAGTGTGTGCCGATAATATCAAGGTAGCACGCAAAGCGTCTAGCATCGAGAGTATACGATGATAGCCAATGATTTGCTGCATCTAACTTTCAGTTCCGCGAGCGTCTGCTACAGCGCTTACGGGATGCCGCGTACGTTGTAATAGACGTTTTGGTGGGCGCTGCAAAGCCAAGCACTCGCCTTTAATCAACGACTGTAGCTAAAAAAAAATATTTGCTTGATGGCCTTAAGCCACCGAGCAATCCATGCACTATCTCGCCAAGTACAAGTAAACAACACTCCAGGTGCACCACATAAATGAAACCACACATAAATCGATGCATGCAATGTTTGAAAATGTGCCTTGAATGTCTTTCCTTATTTAAAGCGACCACTTACCTTAGATTTCATTGAAGCTGCGCTGCTACTTAATTAATTCCGTGCAATCTAGCACGGTATAGTGGTGAACGTAAGGGTGTTTTGTACCTATAGTCAAAGGTAGCCTTTGTTACAATATTCTTATTACAAGACACATGAGCGACTTTTGTGGCTGTGGACGAATTGTGTAGAAATAGAGAATAGCAGTAATCAAATGAAGTTGTGAGTGGTATTTCGCTGGTTTCATGCACATCAGCATTTTTATAAAGCCGGAATACGAGAACGTGCATACGTTTACGCTTAGATATGTGTCTACGTAAAATGAGGGAGACTCGTCGGGAGGTGTCTCAGTGCTAATGCTTTTCACAAAACACGGTGCAAATATTTCGTCCAGCGTTGTTTGAGTGCGCAAACAAAGCAAGGGACGTGTATACGAGTCTTGAGGTCAAGAGACGTTATCACACGTGCGAAAAGGATGAAGAGAGAGAGAGAGAGAGACTCTCGTTTCGGCTTCGCGAAAGCTTGAAATTGATAGATAATAAAGGCAATTTTCTGGCCCAGCAGACGTCAGGGAAAGTCTCCGCAAAGCAGCGTCAGATGCTCGGAGAGCATAAAAAAGAGGAGTACGCGTTATATGGGAGTGACAGCCACTCAGAAAGCGAGATGAAGTGTGACTGTCCTTAGATGTGAGAATCATTGCTAATTAGGAGAGTTGAGTTAATGAGCCAAAACTTTCCTAAATAACGATAATGGAAGCAAACTGAGCATTCATCTAGTGAAAGTGACACTAGTGACAGTGAACTCATAATAGTTGATTAGCGTTGTCACGGGCTGTTATATATTTTTATTTTCTTATTTATATTTGGCAAACTATGAGAAGGTAGCCTACGTTAGAGCCGGCTATCCCAACGTCATGACAGTAATGTACAAGAATAAATAGCGCACGGTTATACAGTCACACGTGGCGGTTTCTCTCTTCTAGTAACCTTGGGCAAACGCATTCTAACTATTTTTTCTATTTTGACAAAGTTTCACCGAACGTTTTTGCATTTGGCTTCATTCGAAGGAATGACGATATATCAGCAATAGGGCGAATGCAAGCACTGCTGCAGTGGACGAGCGGTTCCAGCGCTCAACTACAATCTACGAGGTACTTGGTTCGATTCGCAGAATCACTGAGAACTTTTTTTTTTCAAGAGGTTGCCCGGCCTGACATTATGCGTGGTGGCGGGTACTAATTTTTTGAGAAGTAGGCTTTCGCACTTGCTTCTTTCACTCCCCTTTTGAACCAAAAGCGCTGTATTGTGCTCCTTCAAAAATTGAACAATTCAGGGTTCATAATTTTTTCCTCCATTCTCTCTTATCGCAAAAGTGTCGAGTGCTGAAATACCAAATTATACCTGGTATATTACTTTTCACGTGTTTGGATATTCGACCAGCAATCAGTCTTCATGGTGTTTTGAAGAAAATCTACACATGCAGTGAGCTAACTGCTTGCATCCAAGTTGACTGCCTTTGTAGGGACACGCTTTCGTGCTAATTTGGTGGGCATCATCACATGCAGCAAGACTAAAGAGCACGGACAGTTAGCGCTGACGCGAACAGAGTGGTTAGTTTGTGTCTTCTCTCCCGCTATTTGTCATGCTGCACGCTTCAGTGTAATGTCGCTGTCAATGCTTAAAATGAACTATAGCAGTTATTCGATTTCTGCTGAGAGGGTCCCCTATTGTCCAGAATGGAACAGAACAATGACAATTTGATTTGTGTGATAAAGAGATACCCTGCTTTTGGTTACTAGAATAAATTTCTAAACTGAAGTTTATTTTTATTAACAACAGTTCCAGTGCAGATGAAAGGTGCATGGACAAAATTCGTGTATTCAGCTTGACTAGGTTTGTGACCTTAATTGTAATTGCGAACCGGTATCACAGTATGCATAAATATCACACACATATACAACCACGGGTGATAGCTTGCTTATTCTGATTAAAATTGAAAGGTTGAAATCGACATATTCAACCAACGCAATGTGTACGCGATATGCCATGTAGAGTAGCTATGCTCTAAACTAATATTCGCAGGTCCGTTACATTTTACCCAATTTCTTGCCCATGACTGTAGGTTGGTAAATAAAACAACTTCTTCGAACACACATATTCTGTGTAAGGTTACATTTATTTTTATGCAGTACAAAATAAATTGAAATATGTAATGGCTCAAAAGAGAAATAACTAGAAACAAATTCAGCCATATCATTACCAAACTTACTCACCAATGATAAACGGATTCTCATTTAAAAGATACATACATACATACATATACGCACACACACATATACATATGTACACCCATACATACATACATACAATACACACACTCAGGTGTAAATATTAAAATGAATGGCTATAAAACAACAATTCTAATAAACTCATTTTGAATATACTACAGAAAGTAACTTACGAGAGAAATCCACCGGCACTGTTATGTCTGAACACGGTGTTTCTCGAACCATCTCGCAAAAGCTTGATGCGTAGTTTTCCGCTGATGCCCAGTGACAAGCACTCTTTATAAAAAACACAAGAATAAAGCCCTTGACAATGTCATGCTAAAGAAAAGGGCTGTGCATCAATATTTTGTACATGTCTGCAATATCACTCTATTTACATAGCTTGGCTCATTCACAAGCCACTAACAAATCATGTTAGGACACTTGGGCTGAAAGTTGGCACAACGCGAGTAAATTCTAGACAATACATGAATAATACAAATATAAGCTACTAAGCTTCTTCGTGCAAACAGTGTTTATACTGACAGCTATAGGTGTCATTTCGTTTCCCCAAAACACTTCTCAAAGATATAATCAGCTTTATTTAGCTAAAAGTTTCTATTCTGGCGCGTCGTGGTGGCTCAACGGTGGAAGTGACTCTTTCGGCCAAGAAAACAAAGACCAATTATTTTTCCAGTTCGTGAATTCACCCCATGCTAACATTGAGGCAGCTGGTAGGAGTGCTTTTGGAGAGAGGAAACCACCACATTCCCACCAGTTGTGGCCTTGGGTAGCTACTTCACTTGGACAAAAATGATGAAAAACACTCCTCAAGAAGACTTCAAAGTTTGCACACCAACACAGTTCCCATACAGCTGCCTATTAGTCTGCTTGAAAAATATTGAGTTTACTGGTGAGCAAAGACTGTACACTATGTGAGGTGATGCTCCAGTGCACTGCATGTATGTCTTGCTGCTGGCCTCAACTGCAATGTTGCTCAGTGCATATGTGTAAAATAACAACTAATACTGTGCCACTGCCAAGTAATTATGGGTCATTTGCATGAAACAGGGACCACAATAAAAGAACATAACATTTGCCTTCACAACGTTCAAAAACTGTAAATAAATTTCCACAGAGTTTTCACAGTTCATCTGAGGATAGTAATATTGGTTGTAAACACAATCTTACTTCCACTAACAAACTATTCTAAGATGCCAGATTCAATATTAGAGTATACCAGCTTTTTTGTAGGGCTAAACAATTGTACAGGCACCTAGAAAAACACAAGTAAATGCATGCTATAGCTACATATAAAAATAAATACTTTTATTTCTAGTTTGAGTAGAGCTGCATAGATGATAAGTCACTTGCATTACATTATGAACAAACCTTTCCGAGCGAAGTATACATTTAAAAAGTTACACTTACACAGTAGATAAGTAGACTGTTGAAGGACGGACAGGCAGTGGGATAATACCCAAGCACTAAAATCTACTGTTGAGATATACTAGGAGTAGTGATGATCCTCTTCCTTCCAAATAAAATAATCCACATAGATTCACTTCCCAGAGCTTATACACTCATGGCATCATTGGTGCTATACAAATGAGTGTACACTGAAGGATTACATCGACTAAGTACAAGATTACTGCATCCATGGCTTTACTTCTTGTACTACAAAGAATGCAAACACAGTTACCATTGGCGACCATGGATTCTGTGATTTCTGGCATACAAATGTAGAGACACGCAGGCACTTAACACACATGTTAAAAACTTCAGCTCAAAAATATTTGCCCTCTAACACTATAGCAGCCTTTAATTTAGTGTCATAGTTTGGTATCTTCCATGCAAAATTTAAATAATTTCGAATGCAAGCAAAGGAACTGCTGAATAATGCACTGCTAAGAAGTTAAGCAGCAGCTGCTCCTGACATCACAATGTGCTCTTTCTGCTGTTGTGAACTTTGAGCAGGAGAACAGTCACTGGCAGTCCCTTTATACTTGTTGGTCTTCTGTGCTCTGTTCTTGATACACTGTACATGACCGTGGAGCACCGAACCCCTTGTTACTGCTGGAACTTAGAAAAATACAGATCATTGTTACAACAATGCTACATGGAAGAGTGTATAGTTGTCAATTATGTGCTCATATTTACAGATATTGTATTTTCAGAATATATTTAATATGATACAAGAGCAAAACCACAATGTTATAGATGAAGGCATGAAACTTCTGACAGGCATAAAAAGCCAATAGAGTTTCTTTTATTTCGACTTTACACTAGGTGCGAGAAGTAGACCACAAATAAGTTCACTAAGAAACACAAGTTAGACTGCATTACAACACAACAGCCAATGTTGATAACTTTAAGGCTGTCTAACATAGCCAGCTCACCATACCGCATATAGCAGCAAATGGGCAGTCTAGAAGACACAAAGAACTTGTGGATTATGAGTGTGCTGGTTGCTGACATCTATTATTCTAAAAGACGAAAACCTTCCAAAAATGCACTTCATCAGGGGAAATATTCATACGAAACAAATACAGCGGGCTCCTGCAGGTGCCACCAACACTCATCATTATTGTTGATACCACTGTCTTGCCGGATGAATATGCTGCGTCCTGCACAGAACACCAAAGGAGCACTCCATGACTTGGATTGCATGTGTGCTAGCTGCATCGCTCTGCTGCTGAAATAGGCTAGCCACAGTCAGAGAAATGAGAAGCCATGGCTTTGAAACACACTGAACGTCACTTTTAGAGATCAACAATGCATACTTAGGTCAGGTACAATTTGTAAAAAAATATATATCACTATGCGATCGTGGTGAACATGTTCGGCTGAAACACAAGCAACAGCACTGAGAGAGAAAAAGCTACATTAGGTAAAAGATGCAGTTACTGGCCTTATGTCATCTGAGGCTTCTTCAATAGGTCTTTCTCCTTGCAAGTTGTGAACAGCCAGGCAATTTTCACCCACTTGCCATTTCCTTCCAGAGCACTTGATCCACAGAGGGAGTCACAAGCTGGAGAGCTCAATAAGGAATCAAAGTATTTGTGCTCGTTTCAAAGCACAAGCTTTTGAGTCTCAGATTATTGGAGTTTCATTCATAAGCTGCAGGCTTTCAGCTTTCAACATTCTTAATTATTTTGCAATTTAGTCCTATAAATGTTGAATAAGAATTATGTGTCAGAATATTACAGGTATCCACTGAAAGCAACCATGCTTGGGTTTTCAATTTGTGCACAGTAAGTGGTGTTCACGTAATCGTTTGTATTAAAGAAAAACTATCCTTGCAGCCAGCCGTTAGGCAGTTTTGTGCCCTTGAAGCTCCCAAGCAGATTGCAGTCCTTCCAGATGTGGCTGCCATGCATGCTTCCACGCCACATCCGCTGAATGATAACAGTCCGAGCAGTGACATAGGCTTGCACAGTTAGGGAGAACGTGTCCTTCCTATTTTTGTACAGGTGCTCCAAGTAATGATGAGGATTGGTGTGCCAGAATGTGCAACCGATGCATGACAGGACCTTAACAAACCAATCTCTGCGATCTGTGAAAAGCCAAAAACGAGATATTTAAAAACAATCATTAAAAGCACTCACTTCTAATACTTATTTGAGGAAGCTATCACTTCGTTAAAGTGACCAAAGTCTGCTATAATCACTTTGAAATAAACTGAAGCCTCATGTAAAATTTACGTACCGCAATATATACGTCCTACTGATGTATAGTACTACCACAGTGGTAATCATCTATAGAACTAATTTTCCAAAATAACATAAATTTTTAAGTGCAACCTGGATCCTGAAAAATAAATTCACATTAACTTTCCAACTATCAAACGTGGTCAATCGACAGGCCCAACCTCATAATCAAACAAGAGCTCACTTGTATCAAATCACAAAAAACTTTTTATGTATTTGCTCCATAATATATGTATGTATATAACAGTAGTAGTAAATATTTCATGCTTCAACTTGCCATAGAGAAACATTACCTCTGATGGGCTTAAAAACTTGCACACGTTATAGAACTGCGTGAATTATAGTACCAGCGAAATTTAGTTCTGCAAGGTGAACTCACCGATGGCAGCATTTAGTGGCCGTCGGTGTCATAAGGAACCAAGTACGGCGAACAGGCAAAGGGCATCTGAAGACTGGAAGCTGCCAATGACAGCAATGAAGGGCTGGCCAGGCGTGCACGTCCATTGATAAAGTGTAAGAACTGGCCATGACCGGCTGTTGTCAAGGCTCTAGTGCCGTGCAAAACGATGGCCAGACGAACTCGGAAACCTGTAGTTAGGCGATATTGGCCTACAACTTCATCCAAAGCAAGGCACCGGTGAAATCTTTGCTTTTTTGGGGGGCTGGAGGGAAGCTTGACGTTCACGGGCTCTCGCTGCCACATAGAACTCTCAATTTGTTACCGAAGAACAGTCTAGGCGCGCTTCCAAAGTAACACGATCCACAACAGAATGTAGCATCTCGAAGTTTTGGTTGATCACATCACAGCGCTAGGACTATGGTTATCACAAAAAGGAGAAGTGACGTCTTAACAAACAAAAGCGCCAAGCTGCCCCACCACGACTTCACAGGGCAAAATAGTTATCAACGCTGTCTTTCAAGTTTCGGTCACACGAGCACAGCTTGTTCACAAGTCTTGGAACGTCAACACAGCACCACTGTTCACAACGAACATCGTTTCACTCCCGAACAGTACATTGCTCTCAAGTAAATAGAAGCGTGCGGGCTAACTAGTGGCGAAGCAAGAACCGAGCGCGTAGTTCATACGTTTCCGTACGTACTTGGGGTCACTCAAGTAACGTGTCAAAACGCTGTCAATCCGAAATGTCGCACAGCACCAAACTGAGAGACTAGAAAGTCAAGCGAACGAACTGTTACCGGCACACAAACACACATTGCAGGCTTCTCGAGTGCCAGTTGCCGTCGATACATCGACGCCGATCCCCGCTTGATAACCACACCGACGCACAGGCTTCGCTGCGCTTCACCGTACACCATTGCACTGCCACAGCTTTCCGCACTGCTTACACGCACCGAAAGAGCTGCTGTAATCACAACACATCCGGTCAAACGCTGAAGTAACTCGTGCGAGAAGCGTTTGCTGAAAGTCGCACCGACCGACATGCTGTTTACGACGCCATGTTGTTTTCTACAACTGCGCAGCACATAAGATGATAAGAGAGCTCTTAGAAAGTACTTGCACTACTTTCACGGCGTGAAAAAAATTTCTCTTATGTGCGAGGGGGATGATATGACGAACAGGACAGCCGTGCCAGATGAAAGAAGCTTTTTGGCAACGTCACGGAGTGAGCTGATGTAGAGGGTATTGCTTCACAACCAATCACAAGCTGTGCCTGTCGGCCAAGCCGTCGTCTGCTCGCGTTTGTCGTCTGCTTCGATCAGAGCATGCGACAGGGGATTCGCCTTGGCAACGCTATTATTCTCAGGCCAAGTGGTCGCTACGTCGCACAAAATACATGTCAGTGGCTCGCTCTACTTTTGAATGATGTTCGTGCGCCAAGTTAAATGGCTGGTAATTGACGCAGGGATGAATTCAGCCAAGGTTTGCTCTAGAATCGTGAGAGTTGGCATATTTTTGGTGTCATACAAAGTTACTAGGGTCATTTCATTTCGATTGCTTGCCATGGTATCACGGTCCATATCGGTGTCTGAACAGTGAAGGTGAAGATGCATGATTTGTTTGTAGTTCCATGCGTAATCATGCGCACCCCTAATACGCTTTGGTTTACAAAGTACGCTTTGTTCCAGATCGTCCCAAAGTGTATCGACAGCTGTATTTCAGAGGTCGCAACCATTGGACAGTTCGAGCCAATGAAAGTACACTAGAGCACAAACTTTAGGAACCACTCACTGAAAACTTCCTCTCATTTTTATTTCCAATAGCGTGCAAAGAATGTGCTCCCATTAACCTCTTTGGTGGTAATTTCCACCAATGAGGCAAGGATCTCGAGTCGCACTTTTAATTGGATGAGATGGGCCGCAACACAACAACATAACAAATAAGGTTGATCCTATTTCATGTCACGTTCGAATGCACCGACCATTCACGTATCACATTGGTTTTCATCCAACCACAAATCTTTACATGCGTAGTTTTATGCCATTGACGCCCAATAGAATTATTCAATTACTGCGACTTCGAACTTATTGGACGATGGTGGTTGTCAACACCATCCACTGCGTACGAGGGAAACAACACGCGAAGCTCAAAGCGCCGAAAGAAATAAAAACGCACCAGCAGTCATCAGGCAGCCCTTGATGGGCGTGAATTAACTCAAAACCAGCCAGGGCACCAAAGTATACCGCTGTGGCAGCAGGTTCTAAGTAGCCACATTGTTCCTAAGAGTGGTCCGGACCACTCTTGGAATTTTCTCTCAGCCACGCTGTTTTTACGCACAATTTCGCTTCGTGAATCCGCTTACGAGCACTTTTCGGTGACGTAAGCAAATATAGCAACTGCATCACCATTGCTGACATGTTCCTGGGCAGTCCCAGCGCGCTTTATTTGCAGCGGCCGATGTGAGAACTATGGCCTCTTACGACGTTTTTTCGTTTCGTGAGTCGACTTACGCAAGAAAATTTCTCTTGCGCAAAAATGTTTTCGTAAGTGAGTTTTGTGAATCCGGGCCCAGATTTTTAAGCTGCGAAGCGCATTGCACCTAACCGACCAGAATGAGCCAATTAAGGAACACTTCTAGCGATGACAAGTTCTGGAAGGTGAGGCCGCTCCTTGGTGTCATTAGGTCCCGGTGCCTTCAGCTTGAGGAGCTTGAGCAGAACTGCATTGATGAGCAGATGGTGGCATTTTCATGGATGGTCCCAGCCAAGCAGGCCGTGAAGAGCAAGCCAAACCCAGTAGGGGTCAAGATTTTTGTGCGCTGCAGCACGGATGGCCTGTCACATGATTTTGAGCTGTATCAGGGCAAAGGCACAGGCATCGACCGGGAATTTTCCTTCCTTGGGCTGAGGGTGTGTGTTGTAATGAGACTTGTGGAGTCATTTCCGCGGCACCGCAATCTCAAACTGTTCTTTGACAATTATTTTACGTCTGTGTTGCTTCTGAGGGAGCTGAAATCAATTGGAATCCTTGCCACTGGTACAATTAGGTCCAACGGGCTGCCGGGTTGTCAGCTGAAAGGAGAAAAAGAAATGCGAAAGGACGAGCGTGGGAGCACCAACATCAAGGTGACGGAAGCGGGAGACGTCGCTCTTGTGCGATGGAAGGACAACAATCTTGTGACGGTGGCCTCAACACAAGTTTCCACTGGGGAAACTAAGGCTGTTAGCAGGTGGAGCTCTTCAAAAAAGGAGCGCATTGAAGTGGAGCGCCCACAGGCTATACTTGAGTACAACCGCCACATGGGTGGGGTTGACAAGCTTGATTTTATCATGCCGCTTTACCACATCCGAGCAAAGACAAAAAAAATTGCCGGTGAGGCTCATTTCATACCTCACCTCTTTTGCACTTGCAAACTCATGGCTCGAATATCTAGGAGATGCTTCTGCTGAAGGTCTGGTTAGAAAAAACACAAAAGACGTGCTTCAGTTTCAAACTGACCTTGCAATGAGCCTTCTTGTCTCCATTGAAACTTTGGAGCCGAAGCGCGGGCGACCAAGTGCGGAAAATCTGCAGGACGTCCCAAAAGCATGCCACAATAGCGGACCACTTCCTCGCAACTCTGTTCGGCTTAAATGGTAGAGAGCACTGGCCACAACACGTAGCGGCAAGATTCCCACAGCGCTGCCGGAAACCTGGATGCAATTCCAAGTCGCGAGTTCGATGCAGGAAATGCGAAGTTTTCTTGTGCCTTTCTGCCACTAACGACTGTCTTTATGAATACTACATCAAGTAAGGAAGAAGGTTGATAAAAAATGTCTCTCTTATCCACCTTGGACCCCAAACATGTTTTGTATTGCAGTAGCTGTAATATTTTCATGCAATAAAGCATCTGCTTGTCTTGTACAGGTTTGGTTGTATGGAGTAACACTCTGTACATATGAGGACACGACCTAATTTTTTAAATACTTAGGCGATCGAGTTGGTTATGGTTAAGTGAAATTGGTGCTATCAGAAGCAAAAGGGAGCAGTTTCAAAATTTTCTGATGGCCACATCATAATGCGTGTCGCAAAGGGATAGACAGTGGAGCATGCAAGCCTCTGTTCGTAAATAAGGGCGATTTAGGACTGGCGTTTTTTTTTATGCGGAGCATACCTGTCGCTCGATGTCACACGTCGTGCGCCAGGGGCGATGTACATACCCCCACTGCGTATGCTCGCGCTTCAGCGTATCGTTCCGCATGCTTGCGTCTCGTGCCAACTGTCCGCTCTCCTCCTTTCTCCCTTCACAATGCCGACGTAGGCAGCGTCCACTAGTATAAACCGACTGCTCGAGCTATGCACAACCGTTTACAGGCCACCCCGTATATGTATGCACTGGATCGCACATCAGCGTTCCAACACTCTTTGAAGGCAACGCTTCGGCTTTATTCAATTGATAAGAATAATAAAGACAAAATGACAATTGGGCATTCTCAAACCATACCGAAATACGCAACATTCACGTCCCGTCGTGGTAGTCTATTGGCTAAGGTATTTTACTGCTGACTCGCAGGTCGCGGGATCGTATCCCGCCTGCGGCGGCTGCATTTTCGATGGAGGCAAAAATGCTGTAGGCCCGTGCGATCGTATTTGGGTGCACGTCAAAAGAACCCCAGGTGGTCGAAATTTCGGGAGCCCTCTACTACAGCGTCTGCCATAATCATCATGTGGTAGTTTTCGGACGTGAAACCCTAGATATTAATCAATGAACGCAACATTCATGCGATACTTCCGCCACTCTGTGACGCATTTATTCGAGTTCCCCTCGTGGAAGGATGCGGGTGGCACGTTCTTTTTTATTTTGTGTTCTTTCCACCGTACTATATTTTACAACCAACAAGACGTATAGACCTTTTAAAAAACGCCTCCCTGGGCGCCCCCATGGTCCTGCGCAGCCCATCATGGCGGTTGTTTTTTTCCCTCCCGTGAAAAGGTGTATACAGCATCACTGTATATTTGATGTGGTGCTCATGTTTCAACAGGATAAACGCCGTGCATTTTGACAAAGACCTGTGTTGACACCTGGAATTTTGTCCGCGAGATGGAGGACAGGTGGAGTGCGCATTGGGCTAGTCCATCAGAAGGTACAACGATTTCTTCAAAAGCCTGCCTTGCCCTCAAGCTCAAAATTAGAGGCACGCGCTACGTATCTTCCGACTGCTCCCCTAGTGGGTGTGCTCGCCGAGTCCGTCTTATTCACTTCGAATCTATCGTTATCATACACCAACGAGACCCATGCACTATGCGATATCACGCGCCTTACAAAAAAAGCAAGAAAAAAGCCCTTACTCTACCGGGAAAATGGCAACAAGAGAAGGTTGGCGTTTGCGTACCTGACATATCTTTCTTGATTTTCTATCTATCTATCTATCTATCTATCTATCTATCTATCTATCTATCTATCTATCTATCTATCTATCTATCTATCTATCTATCTATCTATCTAGCCGCCAACGACATTTAGCTCTCCTGGCTGTTAGCATAATGGCATCGATACCAAACTTCGTATAGCATAACATGACTGCATTACGAGCATTCTTCACTAGTCATAACATGAAAATAATTATATGTATGCCATGAATGTCATATTTTACATTTCATGGTCTTGCATGCTCTTGTGGTGGTTTCGATTGTATGACATGCTTCAAAACATGGTATAGTATGACATGATTGCATGGTGAACACAAGCGACAGACCCTTAACATGAAAATCATGACATGCGTGTCATGTAACAACAAGGCTACATGTCATGCTCATGATGCACTCGTGGCCATTTATTTAATCGTCACATATACGAAATTTGGTGATACAGTACGTGAATGAATGACGAAAAAATGAGACTGGCTGCAAACATGATAATCATGTAGATACGTGTCATGATGATAACATTACATGCCACGCTCATGATGCGATGGCGGCCGTTTCGCTAGCTTCACTTATACCAAATTTGGTCAGGGACGCCAATGGATGACGAAGGTCATCCAAGGTCATCCATTGGCGTCCCTGAATTAGGATCAGACTAGTGCAAATATGATTAAAATGACATGCGTGCCATGTAACAACATGACTACATGCCACACTCATGATGCACTTGAGGCCATTTAATTGGCGTCACATACACGAAATTTGGTATTACTGTACGTGAATGGACGACATAGCTAAATGACAGATCCAAACGTCATAATTACGACATGCGTGTCATGTAACAACATGACTACATGCCACACTCTCGATGCGATCACGGCCGTTTTGCTAGCTTCACATATGCCAAATTTGGTATTACGTGACGTCAATGGATGACGAAGGCATGTGACTGGTACAAGCATGATAATCATGAGATGCGTCTCATGTGACAACATGACTACATGCCACAGTCAAGGCGCCAAAACACTTGGACGTGGTACGGCGCGCGTGCGCGCCGGCGTTCGTTTCGTCGCATCACGCCGGCGTTGCCACGCCAAAAATATCGGAAACGCAAGCAGCCCTCAACATCTCCTCGAGGGACCACCTCACATTCGTCACAGCCAGACAGCGGCACCAACCTGCATCAGTCGGCTCCACCACTCCACGCCGACACTCAGGCATTCCCACCGCTCGAAGCACCAGCGGCGGTACCTCAGGGTAGCAGTTGGGCAGGGAATGCTGCTTCTAAGCCTCTCTCAACCCCTTCTGTCGATCCTCCTTCTCCCGAACTTGCGGCCCTTCGCCAGCAAGTTGCGGCACTTCAAAAGCAAAATTCTCTTTTAGCTAAACAACTCGAACTCTTAAATAAGCGACTTCAACCCCAACAACAGTGTACTGCAGGGCCATCCGGTATTGCCTCCTCTGTCCAGGCGGCTACGCCAGCTACGTCCAAGCTTAGTCCTCGCGCTAAGTCCACTCCCATTAAACCGCCGGTTCAAGCAGCCTTGTGTACTCCAGCACTCGGAACCGGTGCCGCATCTACTCCAGAAGCTCTTGAGGCTCCTGGGGCACCTCAGGTTCTCTTGCCCGCTAACCAAACTCTCCCTAGCGAGGAGCGCGCCCCGCGCGTAGGGGAACGGCTTACGCGCGTTGAAGCTTCGGTTAATCACCTCCTCACCAGCTTCTCTGTCCAACGCATAGTAGTAGAGGTTACCCAGGCTATTCAAGCCTGGACAATCACCCAGTTTCAACCCAAGGCATCACGTTCCCGCTCCTGCTCGGTGAGCAGTGAGGGTACAGCTCCACGGCGTCGTCGTAAGGTGGCTACCACCACCCCGCCGTTGGACAATCCGGCCTCAGTGCTTCTCCCTGCCTCTGAGGATTCCGAGCGGGACATGGAGGACCAAATATAAAACCTAAGATGGTCACGATGGCTACCAATCGTACGTCCCGTTCAAACATTGCGTCTAAATTCGAGATCATACAGTGGAACCCTGGAGGCTTCGGGAACAGGCGAAAGCGTTCACATCTTTCCCTTTTCCTCAGCTCACTTGGCTCTCAGCCGGCCGTCTTGGCGCTCCAAGAATCTGGCCCTGCTCCATCCCTTTCTGGATACTGCTCCTATGTAGGCGGCACCACCATAATCCTCCTCGTGCATAAAGCTTACACAGCGATACAGATTGACTTCGATCTGGATCTTCCTTACGACTACTGCATGATATCAGTGCTGTCTCAGCGGAGGGGCCAACCATCAATACATATCTTAAACGTGTACTGTCCCCCTCGCCTTGCGAGGGCTTCATTTGCGCATCTCTTCCATCGGGCGCTGCGTATAGCGGCCCGACAACCACTGGTGATTGTCGGGGACTTTAATGCCCCCAGCCCTCACTGGGGTTACCACTACGAGAAGGCCCGGGGCAGAGAGCACAAGGAGCTCATTTCCTCGCTGAGCCTCATGCTTCTTACTGATCCGGCACAACCCACACGTTCCGGCAACTCGGTCACGCGAGACACATGCCCCGACCTTTCCCTCACCCGTCACATCCGCGATGCTACATGGGAAAATTTAGGCGAAACCCTAGGCAGCGACCACTTTTTACTCCGCATTTCATTCACACCGTGGCAGAAAATGCGCCAACACTGGGGCCAAGCCCGTCTCACCGATTGGACTCAGTTCAGAATGCAACCATTCCCCGCCGTCCTCTCCTCGACCGAATATGCAGCGTGGGCATCATACGCCCTCCATATGAAACAAGCGAACACTCGCACCCTTGCAACCTCTAATTTGACTCCTGCAATCGATCCACACCGCCTACATCTTTGGCACGCTCGCCGCGGGCTCGTAAGGCGCTGGAAACGCAACGAACTTAATCGGAAACTTCGCGCTCGCATTGAGGCGCTCACTGCAAAGGCGGCCGCATACTCTGCAC